AGGTCTAAAAATGATGAACGATGTTGCTAGAAACAACAGAAAACTTGGTTTAGATTTCTGCATTGTTCCTCCTATGCAGTTGAGGAGTCCTGACAAAGTCACTCTCTCCTAATCTCAGAGGAGTGCTGAGCTTTCTTCCCACATGGGGTATCCGATGTTTTAAAGGAAAGCAAAGGTTATTGTGCAGTCAAGTCAGCACTCAGTGGAAAGCTACCTTATTCAATTTCTGCGCACTTAGACAATCACTGAATTCACATCTTTGGTGGAAGCAAAGAACCATTTCTATTTTGATATGTCCTCTATTGGGACAACACCCTTGCAAGAGGATACCTAATTAGATGTTTACTCAGTTACCAAAATCTATTCTTTAAATGTTACAATCTGCCCAGTGCAGAAGTAGCAACTGATATTTTAAGGACACTGCAATATTAAAAAAATCAGAATAATAGGTCCAGTAAATACATATTATTACTTAACCATTAGTCTGAAAGCAATATTTCAAGAAGTGAGACACCAACACAGCACCAACAAATGTTCAGAAGCTAAATGTAAGGGCTCACCTTAAATGAAAAAGATTACGCTATACGTCTATGCAAAAGCATACAGGGATCCCTTCGTAAGAAGTATTACGATCATATGAAGCTTCTCTTCATGAGCTTCATGTAACTCAGCACATTCTAGACTTAGAGCGTGCTGGCTGGCGGAACCAAACCAGTCCATTGGACGTCAGGAAAATGACAGGAAGGCAGTAGTCACAAAGACTGAAACTGTGATAATAGAAGTATGAATTCAAAAGATGCAAAGCACCTGCAGGCCAGCTAAAGGGCAAAAATCCATTTCATGCAAGAAAACCATAGTCTGAAATTACAAATCTTGGTATTTAAATATATATATACATATATATATAAAATACTTAGCAACTACAAACCAGGCTGATACATGGGGAGTATGTTTTAAAAAAAACAAAACCAAACAGTTCAACTGTTAAAAATCCAGTTCAAATTTGTAAGTTTTAAATAAAGCGACCTGCAGTTTTAAAAAGTACAAAAATATATGAGTATATGACGTTGTTCTCAAACAGGCAACAAAAGATAACAAACACATTTCTTGCTTTCACTCAAACAAAACATCAATAAACTGAAGGAAGAACACTTTGTCTTGCAGGACTACTTACAAAGATTTTTGACAACTATTTGCTACCAGCACTGGAAGATCATTAGTGAAAATACACAGCATGAGGACTAGTTTCTAGAGTCTTGCACGCATTATTGTTATATTATCCTTCAGTAATTAATCTGTTCTGACTTGATTCAAAGCAACATTTATAGATCAAATTATTCTTTTAATTGCTTTACATTAATTCTAATTTACTATAATCAAATGTTTAAGCTGATCCTCGAGGTCCCTTCCAACCTCGTATTCTATCATTCTATCATTCTATGAACTCATACACCAAAAATAAGGTTACCAACCTGAAAGGCAAATACACACTCTTCTTTGTAATTGAAAACAGGTTACTTGGCCAAAGTAGTATTCTCTTCTCTTCTCTGTTCATTTTCTACTAATTGGTTTTCTGTATATTAGATTTATGTTTTCTCAAGCATTAAAGCTAGTTTCTAATCCTACATAAATAATTTGCTGAAAGATCATGAACACGAACTGTTAAGATAAATTTGTCCCAACTTAAGGCAAAGTGAAAGGCAAAAATACACTGAAAACATAATAATTAGAATTAATAAAAATATTAGATTATTAATGTAATGTTTTACAATAAACATTTTCATATTTCACTGCTACTTGATGATAATACATATGCAATAATAAATACTTGATTTTCTCACTTTTTAAAATACTCATTCAGCTGAAATTCTGCTTTCTTTTTGCATTTTCCTTGTGTCAAACTGCAACTTTGCATTTGAACTTGACCTCCGTGATTTCTATTGTAGTAAGTGGGAAAATGACACATGAAAATCAATAGTTCTCCATAGTTTTTTCTACATTACTCTCTTCTAGTCAAGGTCTTTCTCAGAGCTCCGACATTTTGTATAGCACAACAGAGGTTAGTATTTTGTGCAGTAGTTTGTACTCTGCAGTAGTGGTTCCAGGTCATTCTGTAGAACATGGTGTCCTCTTGTGGTCTTGGAGATTCCCTCAGCCTGAGACATACACCTGAACACCAAATTTAGCGCTGGTGTCAAGGGAGCTATCAATTACCGCAAAACCCTCTTTCAATGTCACTAACATTTAGAATAAGCATTATCACCTTCATTAGCCTCGCAGTACCAAACACATGCAATGAATAACATCCTTCAAGTATGGACCTGAAGGATATAAAAATCACACAGCACCATTTTCCAAAGCTGTTAAATAGCCAGCAGAATTCAGCTACTGAAACTGCTGTTTAGGCACTGATTTAAGACTGTATTGATTAATCTAGAAATGTGAAGACAGCTGCAATTGTGTTAAAACCACTATAACTAGTATCAGAGACAAAAAAGTTTCTATTGAAATCTAACAGCATATCTAGAAAGGAACATGCTTTGGTAGCCCCTGAAGTTAAAAAAGTAGTATTGACCATGCTTCTAGTGCTTATTACCAAACACTTGCATGTATAACATCTAGCACAAATCCCTCATCCTAAACTGAAAGTTCTACATAAGTCCAAGACAGATATTCACACATGAATTTATTGATTTTACACTGAATTTTTAAACCTTGCAATTAATTCAACCTCCTCTGTCATGGAAAGGAGGGCCATCAACCCATCTCAGTCAGTCACACGGTGTATGCAGTGTGTTCCAAGGGGCTACTACTTCTGCGGGATCTATAGAGTAACTGTTCCTGAAGCATGATCCACCACACTGCACAAACCCACGCAATATTCCAAAGTGCAATACATACTATGACATGGTACAGAAAATGGCACCACTACAAGGACAAAAATTTGCCTACAGAATGTGCTGTGGAAACCAGCTCTTGTGTGATGAACTGAAGTAAGCTCTTGCAAAGCTGATGTGAAAGCACTACTTTGCGACTTGCAAGCTGTTTACAAGCAGGTAGCCAGAAGTATAATCACTAATCAATTCCAGTTATACAATTGGGTTATGTCCCATCATAGGAGTCTTCCAGGAGTGCAATGGATGGCACCCATTTCTTAGTGTAAAGAAAAGATACTTTTCCTGAGATACGATGTGACAGAAAGTGATCGTCGGTCTATGTATGATTAAGGTAGAATTTTGGCCCAAAGCTAAAAGCACTGAAAGAATAAGCAATTCAAATTTTTTATGAGTTGCTCAACTGATAATTTTGTATGCATCAATTGTGCAAATGAAGTTGAAATTTAATTAGTATTTAAAGTAATTAACGATGAAAGACTATCAAAAAACCTTAAAAGAAAGCTTTCATAATTTATTGAAATGGCTGATACTCCATCACTTCAAAAAAAAAGAACTAGTTATGTAACAAAGAAGAAAATACATTGTTTCTATTACAGACCTATCCACTAAAAACTAAATGAAAAATGCATGATCTTCTAACATATGGAAAAAAAGACCAGAAAAGCTCTTGTAAGTACTTTCACTTACTAGGCTAGCAGGCAATGAACAACTACATCAACTCTGGACTTTCTGCCAAGCCAACAGACCTAGATTTTATTGATAAATTCCACATATATATACACATATATATATCTCACCACCACTTACTCCAAATTATGTGTATTACTACTCATTCATTTCATATCACACGTGTCAAGCTTACCTACTCATTTTTACAGAACACTTGGGAAATCAAGTCAGATCAGCGTTACTATCTTTAAACATTCACAATCCACAGTGACATCTGAATGTCATTACGGAATTTATGAATATTATTTTTTTCTACTTGTTTTTGAAATTTTATATTACTTCATATGAATTAGCAATGACAATTTTTCTATCATAGGCAAAGTTGCAACAGCTATAATTAGAATGATTCTGGCATTTTCATGATACATGTATTAATGTGGTCTTAGGCCAAACAGAACATCATGAAGATCGTTGAGCATTTTAGTCATTACGTCAGCTTTCTTCTGATGACTACACTGATCACCATGGTTGGTGCTTCTTAGATATTTGACACAAGAACTCAGTAATACTACAGCAAAAAAAAAGTAAATTGAGAAAATCCCATATAAAAGCTAACAAATTTGATTAACATTAGGAATGCTGATTTAAGCACTCAGTGGCTTAGTATAGACATTTTTAGTCATAAGCATGATTTAAACCTCAAATATTTCACTTGTGATTGTTGAATAATTTTTTCAGCTCATTCCTAGACTGTGAAGAAAAATTACTTTGATTACTTCTCAATCCTAACTGGATTTGTGATATATAGTACAATGTGTATTTAGGCTTTTGAACAATTTAAAGTTTTGGTGATTAAGGATTAAACTACATGCCACTACATATTTACTGTATGCATACTACAATATTTACTGTCTTTGTTGCAAAAACCCCATACGATAGGAAAGTGCAGAAATTCCCATTTCAAAATGGGAGAGCTAAGACAGAAAGACACAGATTATGGGATTTAAGCACCCAAATGCCTTTAAAAAACTGGTTCAAAGAATTTACAACTACTGGTGAACATCACAGGAAATTAAAGGAATTTAGACTGATACTGTTTAAAATTTACAGAAATATTTTATGAATTACTGACCAGTGTTAATTGCTGGCATTTATTGAGAAGAATGGAGCAGAGATTAGATTTTACATATACAGCTGTCCAGTACAGTTTTTGGAATTTTGTGCATTTGTCTACTGTGTGTCATCAATATTTCATTTATGAAAAACAGTTCTCTCTTGCTGAGGGCAAAGTCTGTATAAAAATAGCAGGTACTGTCTAGCAGGTGTAAAAAGTATTTATGATAGTCATCTCATGTGTGTGTGTGCGTGTGTGTGCGTGCGTAGGAAAGGTTTTTTTCCCCAACTCTTACTGATACTATGAGTTCTTTCAAGTACCTTGTTTCCAATGGCCTTTTTTGGTGGAAAGTTAAAAGTCCTCACTTGCTGATATTTATTCTGTAATTTATGATGCAAGCTTCTGAACTCCGCGTATCTTCGATAAACATTCCATTCATCATCCTTTATCCTAATATAAACCTGCAAAATACAGACGGAAGGAAATAATTTGAAGATCAACCATGGAACTAATGTATCTCCTTTACTCTTCAAAGCTTCACAGCTTAGCACCTTCACATTCATGATGCAATGGTACGAAAAGTTCCAGGATCCACAGATACATCACTGCCTGTACATTTGCTGCTTCTGTTCTACAGGTCATTAATCTCATTGTCTCCCTTCTTCCATCTCCTCCTTCCATCTTCTCTCTTTTTATTATATTAACCAAGACACACATAGCTTGCTCATTTTAAAATTACTCTGGGGCAACTACGGTAGCACTTTTGTTACCATGGTTTCCAGCTTATTCAACTAGCCAGTGACCAATGGAAAAAAATAATTTAATACCATCATAAAATTGATTTCTATGTACTCAAAGCAGTTTTGCAACTTTGTAAATCAGCTTTGTAGCATCAGAATTGCAAAACAATTTCATCCAAAGTATGAAACTTAATTCACTTTCTAAAAAAAAAATTACACTGAAAACTAGAAATGTTATTGTTTGGAAAATAAACACAGTTCATTATTTCTGCTTGTATAGGGCATTAAGCATAATTTAACAGAGCTGTAGTTTTTGTGATTCTGTTTTTGTTTGCACTCAATTATTTCATGAGTGTATTACCAATTACATGCTAAATATTCACATTCCCTAGGAAAACTTCATGCAGAAATGAAACAGTTACAGAAAGCTGAGATTTCATTCATTACTAGGGAACAACCTTTCCTCTACAGAAACAAACCCACAGTTTAAAAGAATGCTGAAATAGCACAAGTCAGAAACTATAAGCCAAGCATTAAAACTCCAGATCCAGAGTGACCTTTTCTTTAGCTTCTTCTGTAGAACCTGTAGCTCGTTCATTCAGAAGAAGAACTGGCATGAACAACTGTATTTTTGTGACGTGGCCGATTCCAACTCTGAATCGTAGCTTTCCCTGATGACTGAGATATTGACATGATGGTTCTCCTCTAGATTTGCCAGGTCTTTAGAAAAAAAAAAATTTTACTAAAGACTCCTGGTATTTCAGAGATCCAGTGATGTCAAGTGAATGTCTTCTCCCACAGAAGCAGCGTATGCAGCCTTCCTTTGGTTCGGTCTTTAAGAAGTCCTCTTATCTCTACAGACATCTAGTTTCTCAGATTTGTAGGAGGCTTCTGTCTTGCAACAAAACACAATATACCATGCAGATGCCATGCAACTTCTGCCAAATTATAGTATTTCACTGTATGAAATATTTATATATTCATAATATTGGGTTCTATTGAATAACAAGCATATTTCTTGGTTACTATTCATCATGTTTCATGATGACAAAAAATGAAAACTGTAATTCCAAAATTAGCACATCTAAGAATACAAGAGATTTAGAGTATTGTGTGAGTTACAAATGCACATGTAAACAAAACTGCAACTAGTTTTGGTAACATGAATTCAAATAGTATAATGATGGAACTGCTATAATAAGTCTGCAAGAAGTACCCAGATTTCTTCTTCATTTTGAAAATAGAGCCAGGATAAAGATAATTAAACACCTACTGGACCATCTGTTTTAACAATTCAGTATACCTCCGAAGGAAAATGAAGGAAAGCATGAAATTCAAGTATTTTGCATAATTGAAGTAAAATTCATTTAATGTAGTAAAAACTATACCAAATACTTTTTATCCACCCAGCTCTAATCCCTCTCCCTGCCTATTCTCGCTTCAACCAGCATATTGTTTGAAATCATGTATACATTCCCCAGATTCATGTTTCAGCTTCCCTACGGGGGGCAAGGATGACAAAAAAAAAAGCAAAAATTATTTTTAACCAAGTTATTTAATACGGAAATCCTAATTTAACTAAGCAGTTATATTTGCACATGTGATTTGGTGAATCATGCAGTTCAATATTACCTGTTAAGCTGTAACCCACAGTTAACTAATTAAGGAAACCAGTACACTGTAATTGGAATTTTTAAGGACTGCAAAAATATAGATTAATTTCTTAGACAAAACTGTTACATAATTTCTTCCTGTTCTTCTATGTACACAGATACTGACTTCTTGTAGACAGCAAGATATGAAAATGCAGCATTTGGAGTCCTGTACCACACTGAATTTATTGACAATCATATAATAGAGAATGAAAGCCATATTAAAGTTCATGATGTAGTACACATTTCAAGCTTTATTATCTCAACAGGGAATACTATTCAGAAGCCAAGGTACTTCCAGACACTTAATGCAAATTCAGTTGGGAAATCAAACAAAGTAAATCCTAAACATAAAACTGCTTGTATAAACTTATTCTAGTCTAGTCGTATAACGCATACAGTTATCCTCATTTAAATCAAATACAGATCATATGCTTAAGCACAGGGGTAACAGGGAACAACTGTCTTCGTAGACATCATTCTGAAATAATATCAAATAATGCAACTTAAAATGGATGGTTTGAAATTGTCTTAAAAGTCATTAGGACTATTCCCATCATCTTCAATGTATCCACAATTTCATTCATGGTCATTTAATAGGAAATCTGCAGCTGCCAAATACACTTCTGGGTAATTTTGTCCCAAATTTCATGCTGCACCCTAGAGCGACACTGTCTACTACTGAAAATACCTTAACATATGACATATAATTGCAGAACAGTATTTTAAGACCATAAAGCTGAAAGGACTACGCTTCGGCTCATTCTCTGACCAATTTAAAAACCAATCCCAATTCACTACATTTCCTTTCAAATGCCCATGTTTTCCTGAAATCATCCACTTCCTAACCTAATTCAATCATTTTAAAGGTAATGAAAACTTACAGACCAAATAAAAATCACCACTAGAATGGTTATTTTATTGCAAGAGGAAAGCTTTCACTTCAGTAGTCTCTGGCATATCAAAAAATGAATTAAGTAGCTTTTGCTTGTAATTTAGGACCACCTTCCAATTGGGTCTCCCACCTAAAGATCGATTGTTAACCTTTTTGTAGCTATGATTTACAGCACCTGAAAGAAAAATTTCAGTTAATAAGTATATACAAAAAATTAGTCTGAACATGTTCAAAGATTTTAAGAGAAATAGGAAAAACAGTAGTAATTTAATATTTTGTTTTTCAGCCAACTATCCGCTCACTTAATATTACTACAGTGCCGAAAAACTTTTGAGAACTGATTTGAAAGTACTAGTTTAACGATTGTATACACAAATCAATAAACCCTACTCCCATGGTACCGGTTTTTGAGCTAAAAGGTTCTTTAATAGGTTAAGGAACCTTTCAGCAATTCTTGGTCAAGAATGCTATTAACAAATCTTCATGACAGACTAGTAACTATTGTCACAATTCATCACCAGTTATGTATAAAAGTCTAAGCAGAAGAAAGGACAAAGGTCAACATTCCAACTTGCTCCAGTTCCCGATTCACAGATTAAATGCCTGTAATCAACATTTGTTCTTCAGGTCTGCAGAAGTCTAAAGTGGGTCCTTTTCTTTTTGGATGCAAAATATAAATTGGTATATTTATGATTCACTTTTTGGCTCTCTCGAAACGCTGTAGGTAGAAAGAGATACTGAATGGGCTATTAGAGAATCTGCTTCTGTTGCAATGACATTCATGTTTATAAAATACCAGATTAGGCATCAGGAAGGAACTTCCCTAAACGAAGTTACTCCTGAACCTTCCCTACAAATATGGCTCACACTTCCTGGTAGGATGATCTGAATACATAATGAAAAATGAATTCTAGTCAGAGAACTCCATGGATGGAAGCTCCACAAATACAAACCTGCTGAAGTTAAAAGTCCTTGTGAGTCTATGTCCCGTTCCACAGGCAACAAAAATGTCAGAAGGAGAGAGAACAATGCTAATGGAAGGTGAGCAGTGAAACTACTAAACCACATACAAAATTCAATGGCACAAGATACAAGAGAACTCAGAACATTTCAGCAGCAGGACACTTCAAAGAACGTAACAAATACTGAGAAAGTTTGTAAAGAATCAGTCCCATGCTGGGACAGGGTCAGTTTTTCTTACAAGCATGGGAAAAAAAAAATGATGGGCAGTACAGGGAACGCAAAAGAGACTGATCTACAGTAAGAAGATACTGTGACATTTGCCACCTAACTAAGCACCATCGGGAGAGAAAAAAAAAAGACGGTGAAAAACCTATTTCTGCATTACCGTATTTCTACTATATTACTGTATTTCTAAACTCATTTCCCTCACAAAAACGGGTTTTCTGGAGATCCTCTTGCTTGTTACATATGCTTTTCAAATCAATGCCCAAGCATGTGAGAAGAAAAAGAAAAATTAGCAAGTGGTTTGGTAGAGACAACCCAATTGGCATGAATATAACAACATAACACATAAACTGGCACCAATATTTTGTAAATGTTAACTCAGCTAAGCTTGACTGGTGAAAGTCTGCTCACATTTGCTTTTAAATAAGACTTTAAATAATTTTGGAGTACCATTGGTCCATAGCTTTACCTTTACACTTCAGTACTTGGTACAGCAAGAAAAAGGAAAGTAGACCTAAACTAGCAAAGATGTTTTAATTTTTTGCTAGAGTTTCGTTCTTGGTAAAGAAGCTACGAAATGTTTCTGTAAGATGAGAATATTTGCTTCAGATACAGAAATACCTGCTTAGATAGACCAGATTAAGATAAAAAAGGATGAGAAGATTAATAATCAAACCTGCTCATGCTAACAGAACTTCTATATCTTAAGAAGCGTATTCTAGCACTCAGCACGATAAACCAAGGAATGAATGACAGTTCTTAGATGGATTTTATACATCTTCTAAGACTGGCAATTTGAACACTGTGAGGGGATGGAAGAAGAGATTGTACAGGGCAGGAGATGTTAGGTGCTAACTTGCTTCTTTTTTCCCTCCCCAGACGGGGCAAAGTAAGCTTGGAACAAATAAAAATTCACATAGAACAGGCTGCTCCTCCAACTACCTATGTCGATACACCTGTTCTAACACTTTGTTGGGATAGCATAG